TTAAAAATATTTAGAGAGAGAAACTATCTCAAAATTATTGAAGAGGGAAACTATTTCAAGTTTTAAGTTTTAGAGAGAGAGTATATTAAAATTTTAGAAAGAGAAACTATATTAAATTTTAGAAAGAGTAAAGCACTTAAAAATTTTAGAGAGAGAAATTATCTCAAAAATTTTAGATAGACAATTTCAAATTTTAAATTTTGGATAGAAAGTCTATTAAATTTTAGAGAGACAAACCATATCAAATTTTAGAGCGAGAAACTATCTCAAAATTTTTATAGATACACTATACCAAATTTTGAGTTTTAGAGAGAGAAATTATAAAAAAAAATTTAGAGAGAGAAATTGTATCAAGTTTTGTTACCAAACAATGGACATAGAAGTGATTGCAAAGAATCCATGAATTTTGTATAGTTTATCCAAACAAGAGATTTGAGGAATCCATGACAAAAATCCTTAATATTGAAAATCCATAGATTTCCCTGGACTTCAAATATCTAAGATTCCTAATTTCCTCCTATCTAAACGGGCCCTTAAGGAATTATTCTTTCTCGTCTTCAAAGAGCCAAAATCTCCTGCATTGTAAGAAGAAAAGTAATGTTTGTGTGGAGTAATGTAGAAGGATACTCATGTATCCACAACCCATTCAGAGTTGTGTTAAATTTAATCGATGAACCAATGATGCAGTAATCACCATCACGCCCACAATAACTTCAATGACCACAGCATTCTTCGTGCCACCATTCTTGGAATTATACTCCTTTTGTTCCCTTTTGAATTTTCTAATCTTTCTTCATTTGCCCATTCTTACCATAGTAATAGCAGGTGATCCCTTTTTTGGACTTTGATCGTTCTTTGGATTTCGATTAATTATTTTGATCTTGATTCAGTCATTCCTCCAATCATGACAAGAGCTTGTGAGACAGATGAGTCAAAGGATTTTTCTTCTCGTCTCTTCATTGAACAAGCTACATGAGATCTGACTTCTGGTCACTTTCCTATGAGGTGTAGAGTTGGTAAAGGAGATTTCTAAGGTCTTCCAACTACCAGTAGTGAACTAAGTATTTATAGAGCTCATAACTCATCATCTAGGATCATTTTCATTGTTCCGAGCTGGTTGACGATGTTTTGCATATCATTCCAAATGCTCTGGAATGTAACCTCCATCCTCCAGCTCTAGGTTTATCAATTTCCAGATTAAGAACATGTTGTTTTCAATGGTTTTCCTCTAGTACAAGTCCTACAGCTTCTTCCACAATGACTTGGTGGCAAGGTTTCAATAAACGCTAGGCAACCCCTAGGCACCCAGTGCCCAAGAGGGTGCCCAAAACCTCAGGTGCCCTTAGTATAATTTCTTAAAGATATATACATATATGTGCTGACCAAACACACATATATCCATATATTTATGTCAATTTTGTAATTTATTGCATTCGAAAATATTGTAACATACTTTTTTATATGCAAACATATGACATATCGCATGTTGATAATAAACTTGTTTAAAATTTCAAAATTCAAACCATACAAGATTTAAAAAAAATTTAAGTCTAATAGGCTATATATTCGAAATGGTCACCAACTCCCCATGCGAGAAAATAAAAGTTTAGGGAGCTTCTTCAAACCATAAAAAATACTTTTGATTCTCAGAAATAGGTATAGCTAAGAGATTAAAGGCTCATGGAAGTATTCTTTTAACTTTGGGGGGTTGAAAATAAACCCCATAACCTATTTAAACCCTTTTGGGGGTAAAAATTACCCTCTTTTCCCTTTTGGGCATCTTTAAAAATCGAAAAATGGTCCACGTCCCTTGACTCCTGTGCAGGTACAGCCGCTCAGAATGGGGTGCCAAGGTCTAGGCGTGCACCCAGAGGTGTCTTGGGCACCTAGGTGCCGAGTGGACCTTTTTTTAAAACATTGCTTGATGGACATGGCACTCGACACAAGGTGGAAAACAACATCATCCAACCATTATTTACGAGTTCCAATTGCTTTTCTGCCAAGCTTCTTCCAATCTTCATCCCACAAAGTCTCAAAGCTTGTGTTTTACCCCCTCAATGGGCATATACAAGTACAGATCTCACATCTCCTATTTCCAAATTATCCATATACTCCTAGTATTGGAATCCATTTTTGGATACACACACAAGAATAGGACTAAAAATCCAATTTCAGTTCATCAAAGGTCTAGGTCAATCCACCAATGGTGTGAGTTCAGTTCACTAGTGGCTTGATTTCACTGACGGTCTAGCTCATCGGCAGTCCAAACTGCCTAGAGTCTACTTTCATCACATTTCAATCTCCCCTCGTCGGCATTGCAATTGCTACACCTACAGTCCAAGGCATGCAATGTCCAAAAAGGCATAGGCGTCTGCCTAGGTGGGTGCCCAGACCCAAAGGCGGCCAGTGCGATCTTTTTTAGAAGTTGGATCCCTCACACCTCCCCCCATTTTATTGTATGTAGAATTGTCTTTTTTTTATTTAATTAATAAGTTTTGTATATAAGCAATTATTAAACTAACTACCTTTAAGCAATTATTAAACTAAGTAATAAAAAAATTATGGTTTATGAATCATACAAGTAAATTCATGTATAAAACTAAAAAAAACAGGAAAAAACAATATTCATTCGGTTTGGGTGCAATGGACTTTTTCAATGAATTGTTTTCCCAAAGACCCAAACTACATATCAAAATGGTAAAATAATAATCCAAATAGACAATAACATATCAAATATATATCACAAAGTATCACAACAAAAAATACAAATAGAAAAGAATAACATCATTAGACATTGTGGAAAAAAATATATATAACCTAATAAAAACTATAGAGATATACCAACCTTCTTGAAGTGGATTCGATATCGGGCCAAACCGAAATGTTTGGGTTCCCAAATCTCCTCTTTTACAACAACTATAAGCCTCAAAAAGATTGAGGATGAATATCCTTTAATATTGTGACGATTCAAAGAGATCGAAATTATTTTCGATCTCTCAACAAATCTTCAAATCTAGTTTTTTTAAGTTGTTTCTCACTCTAAACTTCACTAAAAATATTTTTGGGAGCAAGAATGGCCCCCCAAAACGTTTTCCCCCTTTTAAGGGGATGAAATTACAATTTTTGTCCTTTCCCAAGTTTTTTTTTGCCAAGGGTTGAGGCAGTGCCTAGGCGCCCGCCTTTTACACCCCTAGACAGGCGCCTAGCAAAAGCCACCTAGAACAGGCCACCTCGTCCACTACTAGGCACTTTTTAAAAAATGAAGCCTATGCAGCTGCCTAGGCAGTCCAAGGCTTGCTTCACTAGTGGTTCAAACTTCATAAAGTTTATCCAAGAGACTATTTGAAACTGCCAATGTATGAGTATATTCATCTTTCAAATATTTATCAGAAGTTCTCATAGACCTAAGTGTAATCTTGAATCACATACATTAGTTCCATGATATGCAATAAAAAGAAAAGTTTAACCTTCCACAAGAACAATGATACCCACTCTAACTTATCATCTTTAATAAATCGGCCAAAATTGATCTTAGTGCAACCATTATAATATCCCAAAGCAAAAACAGTAAGCTCTGATACCAATTATCAGCCCATCATTCAACAAAAATAAATTTTATGGCTACTCAATTTGACCAAAAATAATGGTCAATATGCTGCTGTAAATTAATTTTAACACTACAAAAGTATGCCATCAAAATTCTAACTTTGCCAAAATCATCCCAACTTCATAATATTCATCCTTACTACTTTCTCTTTTAACTCCAATGACATAACAAGAAACAAGATAGTCTAATGAATGAACAAATGGAACAAACCAAGCATCTGTCCGCAATCATAAAGACAAATGAGGAGGTCGATAGAGAGAGAAAGAATGGGTCAGATGAAGTGGGAATTAATTGCAGCTCTAGAGAGATAAAAATGGGAAATAGAGCAACTATAAATGGCCACGCGGAACTTATTTTTGTGTGCTCATGGTCACCCATGTCTATTGCATCAAGAAGGATTGCGCTAAAACATAATTGAGCCACAATGGAAAGCAAGACACAGAAAGCTGGGTGATGCAACTTAGGAAAGAGTATGTGGCCGATGCTCTTTGCCAAGAATCAAACTCTTGCCCTTTTATAAGATACTGGACTATAAAATTTATATACCACAAAACAAAAGATTTCCAAATCCAAGGAGTAATATGGGGTTCCCATCATGAATCTTAAGCACAAAAGTCAACCTAAATGAAGCAAGTTTTAACCTGCAAGAGATCCTATAGTGGGCAATCGAGATGACAAGATTCCTTTTTAACATCAAATATAAAAATGCTCTCAAGTCTCCCTACCCCCACATCAATTAGCCTCATCCTCAAGCCTTAAACCTCCCTCTCGCAGATGCTCCTAAAAAAAGAAACAAATAGAAAAAAAATCCTTTGCAAACAAAATTACCCCTAATGAATTAAATCTCCTCTTCTTATCCACTTTAAGGGGGGAACAAATAAGTGTGGGATACAGAGAGCATGGGAACTAGGTCCTTTGAGAAAAGGGGCCGAGGTCTTGTCAAAAGAGAGGTTTCCACCAAACGAAGCAGCACTAAGGTAAAAGTAGCAGCAAATATCAAAATAGGAGTAAAAAATATTCCGCAGAGACTAAGCCTTTGAAATTCAAATGAAACTCTTCAATAAACATATCCACGAGAGCAATCAACCATGAACGAACAACCAGGTGGATAACCATCAAAGAGAACCTATATTGCCCAAGCTCTATTTGCATCTACCAAGAAGAAAAAAAATGTACCGTTTAGGAACTTCATTCCAATCTCAGGCATCACTTTTCCTTTTTTTCTCTTCTTTACAAATAGCAATTCTCTTATTATTTAACCTTATAAGACAAGGTTTGGGAATTAATTTCACTGAATTTCAATTAAAGATCAAGAAAGTGCTATGGTGAGCCAGCAAAACAGGTATATAATGAATGCCTCTAACTTGAAGGCCACCTATGCAAGTTTGAATACCTCTCGATTTCATCAATATCAGCCTCTTTATTCTTCATCCCATCACTCACAGCCTCTTTTGCATTTGTAGAGATTCTTTGACCGTTATGCATCACCTGGAAGGTAAATGAAACATCAGCATCAAATACTTCCTTAAATCATTAGCAAAATAATAAAATAAATAAGCATCAAATACAGGCACATGAGCACATTCAAAGATTCATGACTAAGGTGAACAACCAAGTGATAAACACTAAAACATTTTTTCAGCTACGCAATAAGCATCAAAACATTCATAACATTCTCAAGAATTGCTCCAAATTTCTTTACAAATGTTATATACAGAAATCAATAATGAACACGGCACTAAAATTTGTTTAGGCAACCAGTCGCTCTTTATTCTTTTCTTTAGTGATAATTAAGCTGATTAACAAAAAATTCTCCAGAGCATCTGCAAGGGGTCATAACCCTAGACAGATAAAGCAATAAACCAGAAATGGCGCCTCAAGCATCAAAAACAAAGAGAGACAACTAAGACTCCGGGAGAAAATCACCAAGAAAGAACAAACAATAAGCATTTCATTCCTTATGCCTTACAGTGAAAATGGAGTTGCAATGTTAGAGAGAGAAAGAGAGTAGCAAGAAGCATTCCTTCCTTATGCCTTAGAAGTTGAAATGTTAGAGAGAGAGAGTATAATTAAGAGGTGACCTTGAACTTGTTCATGGCGTCGTCGAAGGCCTGAATTAGGACAGAATCGTCCCAAATAGCAGTTTCCTTCCCCATGTCCTCTTACAGAGAGATTTGAGTGCAGAGGAGCGAGTCCAATAGCCAGCCCACCCTAAACCGCTTTCCATTTTATAGGCTTCCGAAGTAAAACCCTTCGGTATGACTCGATCACACGTGCATTTGTGCAATTCGCCCCAGCTCACATGAACAATATTTCAAATATTAAAAAATAAATGAAATTTATACATATAAGAAGCAATGTGCGTACGGATGCATCCGTAAGTACGGTTTGCATACGGATAGATGTAAAGTGAATGCATCCGTACATAAAGAGGTAAATGTGCACTTTCAAATTTTATCATGACGAATAATTTTATTGTAAAATGTTCGATTATTTCAAAATCTATTTTTATATCTAATTATAAATTTTTAATTTTAAAATTAGTTAAAATCAGGTCGATATATAAACATATGAAAATCTTGAAAATGAATGGTGTAGATAATATGTTGTAAAATATACTATTTTTTTGACTAAAATTTTTTTTAATTTACATAATCATACATCTCGATATTGAGATGATCAATCAAAAGGTTTTTCAACATTAAAACTACATTTTCCGATGGATTTTTTAGGGGCATCCGTAGTTCTACATTAAAAGATAGCATCCTTATATAAACGTTTTCCTATACGTATTCACATATTTTTTTTCATTTAAAATTGGGTGTGGTTCGTATAGAGGCTCTAAACAATCAAAGTAAAGCTCACCTTCAAATAGTATTGAGATATGTGGTTTAAAAACTGGAAATCTTTGTGATAGCCTTAAAATATATTTTCATCTTTAATTATAAATTTAAAGCTTCAAAAATATTGTAGATCGAGCATATTTATGAAAACTTGAAAATCTTGAAAATTGACGGTCAAAAAATACGTTACAAGATGCACTATTTCCAAAACTTGAAATCCATTTTTTTCTCATGTCCATCCATTTTGATGTCGAGATGATCAATTTGAGGATATTTGGGCATCAAAGCAACCTCTTCTAATGAAAATTTTAAGGTGGGCCCTAACTTGATTGTTTAAAGCCTCGGCTCTATATAAACTTTTGGGAAAATTACACATAAATCCGTTATAGTTTTTGTTATTACAGTTACACCAAATAGTTTCATTATTACATCTCTGTCCGTTTTTTTCATCTCAAAACAATTTTTTTAAAAAAATACGACTTTACCCTTTTTCAGTTGTTAAACAACCGAATTCAAGAGTTTTTCGGTTGTTCAACAACCAAAAAAGGGATTAGTTCATTTAAACTTCCCACTATAGTTTTATCAAAATATATTTGAATTCAGTTTTTCAACGACCAAAATTACAATTTTCGGTTGTTGAACAACCGAATTTACAATTTCCGGTTGTTCAACAACCGAATTTACAATTTTCGGTTGTTCAACAACCGAATTTACAATTTTCGATTGTTCAACAACCGAAATTGTGCGGGGCTGGTTTAAAATTCCTGGATCTGTTTCTTTTCCTTCACCGGTCCAGGTATTTCTCATTCCCCCCATTTCTGACTGTCTCTTACCTTTATGGCAATCAAAACAGCATTTGTAGATCTGAATACAAGTATTTTGAAGGCATTTTACGAATTTCTAATCTGTAGTGAAGGTATGTATAATATGATTTCTTGTTCAATTTTTAGAAGTTAACATTGTATAAGATTATGATTTAGGTTTTCATACATGAGTAGAAGCGGTCGATTTAGGGTTTTATTTGATATATTTTATAGATTCTTTATTGACAATTTGTTTGAGTGATAATTGGGATTTTTAAGAAGTGCAATTATTTGGGGTTTATAATAACTGTAAATTTGGGGTTATTTTTAGTTCTTGAATGTTATACATGAGTTATTGAGTTATGTTTATTTTTTATTTATTGTTTAATAATTTCTAAATTTGGTGAGAACTACAAATTTTGGGGCTTTATTAGAACTTGAAATGAATTAACCTGCAATTTGAAATCAATAGCTTAAGATAGCTAAATGTGTTGTTGGATGTTGCCTTTATGTTTAAAAATGTATAATTTATGCTATATTGGGTTTGCAATTTGAAATGAGTAGTATATAACTAAAAATTTTGGGGTTTATTTGTAGTTGAATGGGTTTGCGCTATGTGACTGTATATAAAAGAATCCATCTGTAATTTGAATTCTGTAGCTTTATATAGCACTCTATGTTATTGGATGTCGCATTTTTCTTTGAAAATGTATGCATTATGCTATGTTGGACTTGTAATTTGAAATAAGTAGCTTAATACATAATGTTGGATGTTACTCTGTGTTGTTGAATGTTGTTGTATGTATTTTGTTGTAATTAACATTTGGGTTATAATAAATGCAAAAAATAATAATTGAATTTAATTCTTTCCCTTTGAACCAATATCTTAGTTGTCTGAAACGGTGCCTCAGTTGCTGATTTCTTTGATTTCTCATAGTTGTATGGGCTTATAATGAATGGGTGTGGGTTTTGTAAGTTGAAATTTCATATAGCATATATTTTGAATAGGTATATAGATGGTACAAAGGTGAATAGGTGCAAAGATGGTATAGAACATTGTTTTGGTTATCATATAAGAACAAAATTTTTGTATTCATTACTTCATGCCCATTCCATTGTTAGTGATATATGATTTACTGATATATGGATTACATAAGAGATGCAAATGTGTTAGTAACTCCATTTATAGTTTGGCTTGCTATTTACCTTGAACATTTTGCAAATGCTTGTGGGTTTAGGAGTACATAGGTAATAAATAACTTTATGCATACTGTAAATATGAGTCGTATTTGATATGTAAATTTATTGTCATATTCTTTTGTTAAAGTAGTATTCTATATGCAAATACAGGATGCAATTTTAAAATGCATGATGAGTTATTTTTGTCTCGATTTCCGTGAATATGAGTTGTGTCCATCTAGAGGGGGGATACTCAGGAGGTCTTCAGGACCTTAGTTTGCTACAGCTTCACCCAGAACATTCATCATATTTCATATGGGAAGGACAGGTATATGCATATATTTATTTGCTTTTTCCATTAGTTTGTTATTTTTCAATAAATTATAGTTTGTTTCAACATCATATGGAAATACATGTGTATATTTATTGTGACTCATATGTTTTCTATTTGTTGTATTCCAAGAAAAACAGGAATTTAGAATCAATGAAAAGACTTTTCAATTAAACGATGGCATCTAACCGATGAGCAAGTTCAATTAGTGAATGTGTTTGGGTTGGGTGCTCCATCTATCATCCGACCAGGTCGAATTGATCATCCTTTGATCGCAGCCAATGTAGAGAGATGGCATTCTGAGACAAATTCATTTCATTACAACATTCAAATTGGTGAGATGGCACCAACTTTATTTGATGTGTACGAGATTTTAAGACTGGTTGTGGATGGCAAGCTTATGACATGTCGTCCTATTAGTGACCTCTAGGAGTTCATAGAAAACAATTTAGGTATAGTCCCCACTGGAAGCAACCTGACAACCATTAAGCATTCATGGTTGAAGGAAAATTTCAGGGAATTGCCATCTGATGCAACCCTTATGGAAGTACTCAAATATATTCGAGCCTATCTGCTATTCCTCATCAGCGTTACCATTTTCACTGATGTGTTAGTTGCAAGTTGCCAACGAGATAGTTGCAATTTTTTGAATATATTGAGGAAGTTGGGAGATATGCTTAGGGTGCTGTAGCCCTCGCATTTCTTTATCGATCCCTTCGAAAAGCTTCTACATTTAAGCGAAGACATTATAATTTAGATTACTTAGAAATAATATTTATTACTTGTCATACCTTAATATAATGCAGTGCTGGTTATGAGCATATGAAGCCCATACCGTATAGTATCTCTCCAAATATGCCTATGGCAAACAGATGGGAGCCACCAAATAACTATTATGGCAATCCATATAACCTGATGTCTCCCATTAGACAATAATTGGATAACCTCCAACCTAATTAGGTTAGTGTGTTCTTTGATATTAATTACTTTCAATTGTATTAAAGTATTTGTAGTTTTTATTGTTAACTGATTGTTGTATGTGTGATTGCATATAATATAACAGATAATATCAAATCCCTATTTCAAGCCTGATGAGGCCATTTCAAAAGATAGGCATCAAGCATTTGAAATTGTAACGTGCATAACGACACTTATCTTTGACGATATTATAGAGCTGTACATGTTAGATCGTGTTTGCCGGCAATTTGGAGCTAAACAGGGCATTCTAATAAATCACACTTATGTTGGCAAGAGGTCTAGCATACATGTTGGGCAGCAAGATTAGCGAAATGTCAATTCAGACAAAATCCATAATTGGTTGTCTCGACATGATCACATGATAGTAGACATTGAACTTGATACTACCAATGGGTTGCCTTGAGATGAGTACAAGGCCTGGTACAATCGAGTGTCATATCCTATAATACATAATGTCTCTAATCCACCAAAAGACATATTGCAACCTCAGGACCAGGAACAATAAGAAGGTGGTTCTTGCACATGAACCACAGTATATAATGAGACCTCGAGGATATGAGAATCAATTGGTATGTTTATATTAACCTAGAAATTGTTTTCGTTTTGTACTTGCCAATCAGTTGGTATGTTTATATTAACCTTCAAATTATTTTTGCAGGTTAGTGCAGTTCAGGCCAGTACAATCATGTTAGCAGAGCCAGTTACACTTAGACATAAGCGGTATCTTGAAGTTTATAATAGCATTAACAACGCGTTTGAAATGTTGTCTAGGTTTATGTATGTCAACATGGTTGATATAGAAGCCAGGATGGAAATTTTACATCAAGTTAATGACAAAGCTGTATAAGAAGAGGGCGGACAATATGTTGTGGGTGAAAGTAGTCGGCCTGTATAAGACGTGGCTCCATCCACACAACCTGCAGTTGAGGAGCCCACAAGACATAACACCTGAAAGAAGCAATATCAACCGAAGAGAAGGCGTCTAGTATAAATGTCTTTTTTGACAATGTAATGGTCATTGAATATATTTGTAATGTTATGAAACGATAATGCATTGGTCATTGAATACATTTGGTAATCCATGGTTCATGGTTT